GGGCATTTGCTAGAGCTCTTCCTCTTTCCGAGCATGTTATAATTCCCTGATTTATGTTAATGATGATCTCATCCTTTAGAAGGTAGAGGACCCAACCAGGCTAACTTCGGTTTGCTCATCAATGAGGACACATTGCTGTTTCTACCAACGTGGATCTTCATTCAAGCAGCTTCTCCCTTTTCCTTCCTACATTTCCTCAGGAGTGTATCTACTTAGTGTACAATGCCACTCTACTCTCCCCTCCCCTTTTTTCACTTATCCTGTTCCTTTTGCATAAGATATGTTTTTCCAGAGCCACGTTCCAGTCATATGACTCGTCTTGCCACATCTTAGTGATAGCTGTGAAATCATCTTTGCCTCCTTTCCTCAAGCATCTCTAGTTCACCTTTGTGTGCTTCTAAATAGAGAACTAGAGTCATAGGTTTTTATTAAAACTGATTCCTTTTAAAATGTAGTTTCTTATGAATTTCTGGGTATCACTACTCATGCTTTTCCTTGTGCTGTGGCTACTGGCTATGATCTTTTTCCATTTAAAATCCTTTTGGTAAGATATGCAAGATTACATGCAGATATATTCTTACTAGTCCATGTTATAAGTATTTATCCATCTCAGGCTTAACATGTCATTTCTGTATTTTAAGCTGTGATTCACAAATCCAAATCCCTATTCCCAGACATCTTCTTAACCAGTTCACTTCCCAAATCCTTTTGTAAGTAAGCAATTACTCCTTATTTTATTTTTATTACACACACATACACATGCTCACTCCAATTCAATATTTTTGTTTATTGCTGTTACTGAAAACATTGTATTAGTGTGAGAATGGATTGTCTGTTGGTGGCCTTTCAAATGTGTAGAGTTTAACTGTCCTTGTATTAAAGTTTAAAGTCCAAGTCTAACCTTGGTTTGGGAAGGACAAATAGAAATCCTTAAGGATTGGAAGGAATTAGAGGAAAAGAAAAATGTTTTTGTATAATTAGGGACTTGGATGACTTCAAGTGAGATAGAATAGTTCTTTGGTGTGGAAGATATGGAAGAAAAAAAATCAGACTCCGAAGTCAGTAGTGTTTGGCCATCAGAATGGAAGTCTAGTATGTGTAACCCATAGAGAACATGAATCAGTCTAATAGGTCTTTGGCAGGTATCAGATGTTTTAAAGGCAGCGTCCTCTTTTAAAACTAGTTTTGACTCCAGTAGAATGAAAAAAATGTAACATTTTATTGACCGAGAATGGTAAGTTAAAGTTTCTCACTTCATAAACAAAGGCCCAGTACTTTATTTTCCAAATTCTAACTTCCTAGGCTGGCTAAGCAAGCAAGATTCTGTCTTTTCTTGAGAGGCAACACAGTATAGTGGAAACAGTGCTGAGCTTGTAGTCAGGTGATGATGGGGTTTGGATCCCACATCTTGAAACTTACTAAATGTGTGATCCTGGGCAAGTCACCTTGCTTCTCTGAACCTTCATTTCCTTGTCTTTAAAATGGGATATCTGTAGCATTAAAGAATAAGAGAATCTGAATTGTGAGGGTTCTCAGCAGTCCTCTGCAGGCCAGCTCATACTGAGACAACTTACATCTTGTATAATATTCCTAACAAGTAGTCATCTAGACTTTGCTTGAAGGCTTTGTTATAAAGATTAAATTAGGTAATGTAATAATAGTAATGATGATGATGATAACTAATATTCCTGTAACACTAGTTGGTGAAAAAGCATTTATTAAGTTTCTCCTATGTGCCAGGCTCTGTGCTAAGCACTGGGGATACAAAGAAAGGTAAAAGACAGTCCCTGCCCTCAGAGAGCTCCCAGTCTAATGGGAGAAGACATCATCTAAACAGTTGAGTACATAGAAGCTCTGTACATGCTAACTGGAGGATAACTAACAGAAGGAAAGAATTAAGGGGGTTGGGAAAGGGTTCTTGTGGAAGATGGGATTTTAGCTGATACTTGAAGGAAACCAGGGAAGCCAAGAGGCAGAGATGAAGGCAGAGAGTTCCAGGCATGGAAGAGTTTCAGTGAAAATGTCTAGAGCTGGGAGATAGACTGTTTCATTCAAAGAATGACCAGGAGGTCAGTGTCACTGGAGTATAGAGTGCTTGGGAGGAGTGATATGAGGAGTAAGAATAGTGGAAAGGCAGAAGGGGCCAGGGTATGAAGGACTTTGAAAGCTAAGCAGGATTTTATTTTGATCTTGGAGTTTATTGAGTGGTGGTTGAGAAGAGGATCACTTTGTCAGCTGAGTGGAGTGGGGAGAGACTTGAGACAGGGAGGCAAGCAACAGGCTGTTAGAGGAGTCCATGTGTGAGGTGATAAGGACCTATACCAGGCTGTTGGCAGTGTTATAAAGGTAACATTGACAGGTTTTGTCAACTGATTGGATGTGGGAGATGAGAGAGTGAAGAGTCGAGGGTGACATCTGGGCTGCAAACCTGGGTGACTGGGAATATGGTGGTACCTTGGACAGCAACAGAGAGGTTAGGAAGAGGGGAGGGTTTGGGGAGAAAGATGATGAAATTGGCGATGTTCAGTTTAAGGTGGCTATGGGATGTCTAGTTCTAAATGTCTGATAAGCAGTTGGAGATGCCACACAGGAGGTTAGGAGAGAGGTTAGGGCTAGATAAATAAGTCTGAGAATTATCTCAGACAAGTGATAGAGGAAGTCATGGGAGCCGATGAGATCAAGTGAAATACTTTAGAAGGAGAAGAGAAAGGCCTAGGGCAGAGCTTTGGGAGACAGCCATGGTTAACAGGGCTGACCTGGATAATCTAACAAAAGAGACTGAGAAGGAGTGAGGTCAGATAGGTAGGAGGAGAACCAGGAGAGACCAGTGTCACAAAAAAAACCAGAGGGGAGAATAGTAATCAGTAATGTCAAAGGCTGCAGAAAGGTCAAGACGGGGGACTGAGGAAAGGTCATTAGATTTGGCTATTAAGTGATCATCAATTTCAGTTGGATGGTGAGGTCAGAAGCCGGACTTAAGAGAGTTAAGAGACTGAGAGGAGAGGAGAGGGAGGAGAGGCATCAGTTGTAGACGGCCTTCTCCAGGAGTGTAGACAGAAAAGAGAGAAGAGATGATAGAATGGTGGCAAGCAGGTATGAATGCATCAAGTGAGAATTTTTGAGGATGGGGCAGAGGTAGACATGTTTGTAAGCAGTGGGGAAGCAGCCTGTAGAGAGGGAGAAATTGAAGATGGGATGATTAGGGACAGTCTACTGGAGAAGACAGGATGTAATGGGGTTGCTTTAGCAAAGAGAAGTACCAGTCCTTCATGTGAGATGGGGGTGAAAGAGGAGAGAGTGACAGACTTCATCTGGGTGACATGAGGTGACAAGGACATAAGAGGGAGCTCTGACCAATTGGCCTCAATTTTTTTCAGCTGAGAAGGTGGGGGCAGGAGGAGCAATAGAAGAGATAAAAGGAATAAAAAAATTTGGATCCTGTCATCGTGGTTTTGTGTTTTTTTTTTTTATTTTTGCTTCATTCAGTAGAGTGTGCATTGGAATGAAAGCAAAGCTTGGTAAGAGAGTTCCAGGCTTGAGGCTTGACAGAGCAGGGTATTCAGTGGGATAAGGAGGAGAGACTTGAGAAAAGACTCACTAGAACTGAACTGGTTCATCAATGGGGTCAAGCTAGGGAAGGGAGGGGAGTGTGGTCAGTGCAGGGGTGATAGCCTGGAAAAGAACCGAGGAATAGAGGATTTTGAGGTGATGAGGAGAAGGAAAAATAGGTTTTAGGATTGCAAGGCAGTGGGAAGAGTGGAAAGACAACAAGCTGTAGTCAGATAAAGGAGTTTCAAAATTCATAGACATGGAAGGGTGTGCATTATGGGTGATGGCAACATCAAGGGTGTGACCGTCTGTCTCAGTGTTGCTGAGTTAGTGGGAGGAGTAGGTTGTGGGAAATGAGTGATTTGAAGACCTGAGAGGTTAAGTTGTTTGAAGGGAATGAGTGCATTTGTGTATGTATGTACATATATGTTAACTTGTGTGTCTATTTTTATATTGTGTAAACTCTGTGTGTGTGTGTGTAGTCAGGAGTTGGAGAGAGGAGAAAGACTGAAGCAAGCACTAACTCATTGAGGAAAAAGAGAGTGGAGTCCTGGAGGTTGGTAGCTAACAACCACCGGAAGCTTGATTGGGTGATAAATAAGAATTATATGAACCTCAGAGGAAGCAGGGTTATCAAATGATGGTAGAGGGAGAGTTTGGCAGGGGCATTGGGGAGCAGGGAGTGATCCAGCTGCCCCCACCTCGAGCGGGGACTTAGGGGTGTGAGTGAAAGGGGCAGTGGGTGCCGCAGAGGGAGACCAGGGAAGCTGTCGTGAGGAGGGAGCCAGGTCTCAGTAAGTAGAAGAAGGCAAAGGTTTGAGATGAAAGTTGTTTTGTTAACTTTTGGAACAAGCATCCAGGAGAGCACAGTGCGAGGGCCGGGCAGCTTTAGAATGGAGTGCTGGGTTGAGGGGGCTTGGGTTAAGGGAGCAGGCCCTGGAGGATGAGGAGCAAAGAGGAATGATGACCCTGACGACTGGGAATCACTGGGAGGGAAAGGGTGTGAGGGGTGGGAGTATGTTAGTGACCGAGTTCAGAAAAGTTATCGATGTCCATTGGGGCTCGCCCTGCGAGGGCTTTGTGTGTGTTTATATGAATATATGTATATGTATATGCATACTCACATATTCTCTTCATTCTCATAACAGACTTGTGAAATAGATTCTATTGTTATCTCCGTTTGACAGATTAAGAAGCTGTGGCCGAGTTCATCACTAGTACTTTGTGTAAAACATAAGAAGGCAAAAGGACTAGAGAATGCACAGCGGCTTTATTTGTAGTAGCAGACAGCTGGAGATTGGCCAAATCATGGAGTATTAGGAAAGGGGGATATTATGATGCTGGGAGTTTGGTTTTTTAAATTAAAAAATTAAGTGTTTTAAGGCATACTTATTACAAATACTTTAAATTTCTATTCTGATCTAAAATACCTTTCACAAATTTGTGTCTAGGTGAAGATGGAGCCGGAAAGACAAGCTTGATAGGGAGAATCCAGGGAAGAACGGAGGAGTGCAAGAAGGGGAGAGGGGCAGAGTATTTGTACTTGAGTGTTCATGATGAGGACAGAGATGGTGAGTAGTGACCTGATTTGTCAGTGATTTGTGTCAGTGATGTGCTTGTTAAAATTATAGAGATCTGCATTGTATTCAGTCTTCTACTTGGGTAAACTTCAAGAGAATTCTGTGCTTTACCTTAAGTATCAGGTCCACAGACTGCAGTCCTTTGGACAGGGCCTTAACTTTCTGGCCTTCCTCTGATAGTCCTTTCATTTTTCATCTCAGATGCTATTTAAAACTGAACTAGCGTCCTGTTGTACTCCTTACCTTCCTTGGTCACTCATCTAGTCTCTGATACCATTCCCTGACTTAAAAAACAAAAATTGTCTCATCACTTTAGTGAATTTACTAAATGTGTGCTTTGCACATCCTCTCTTGGGTGAATTGTAGATGAGTCTTATGTGTAAATTGGTTGGGGCACATGCACAAATGTATGCCTATTGGTGTTTGGTGATTGGGAAATAGGGAGCAGGAGGAGTCAGATAGACTGGGCCTCTAGCATGCGGCTCTTTTCAGAGAAAACTTGCTTAATGAATAGATGGTTACCTTAAAGATTCTATTTTTACTTTGACATTCCCTCTCATGGAGAATACAAAGAATGTTTAAAAATAACGTTTTTAGTTTGATGATGAGATAATTTCATAAAAGTTTATGTATATCCTAACTTTTGAAAACATTACGAAAATCTGTCTTTCATTTTGGTACAGATCAAACAAGATGTAATGTGTGGATCTTAGATGGAGACCTGTATCACAAAGGGCTCCTTAAATTTGCAATGGAAGCCAACTCTCTGAGAGACACTTTAGTTATTCTGGTTGTTGACATGTCAAAGCCTTGGACTGCTTTGGATTCTTTACAGAAATGGGCAAGTGTGGTGAGAGAACATATTGATAAGCTAAAAATTCCTCCTGAGGAAATGAAAGAAATGGAACAGAAATGTGAGTATGCTATAGAACTACTAATATAGAGTTTTAATTTTGTGCGCATACATGCTGGCATTTAGATTTTAGTCGGTGGTATTTGGAAAATGATTATCAAATTCATGGTGTACTTTTTTTTTAATCCTATTAGTATGAATAATTATTTAGATAAGGACTTTGTTCCATTATCGTAGGAAAATAAGCCTTGGCTCCCTGGTTTCAAGGTAAAAGACTAGATTTGCCAGTGTGCTTTCATGTGTGTTAAGATCATAAACTATAATTAAGGTTGTAATTGGAATTTAAATAATAATCTTTTAAAATAACTCTGCTTGCGTTTAAAGCTTAGCACATGAATTTTTTGATCTCTCCAGAATTTAATTTTAAATTCTCAACTCCATTATTATCCAATTTTATTGTGCTATAATGGTTTAAAATTGTGTTTAGTCATAGAGTCACAATCATAGAACAGACCTTTAGCTATCACTTGATCCAACCCCCTCATTTTAGAGGTAAAGAAACTGAGGCCTACAGAAGTGATGTCATCCAGCCAGGTCAGGCCTCTCCTGGGACCTGAGCTTGTGCCTGCTGAGCACCACCCCATTCTTTCAGATGTGTGCTGTGATAGTACAGCTAGCTGAGTAGTGATTTCGTTTCATAAGCTCACTTGTGTAATCTGTTACGTTAACCAGGGAGAGGCGATGTCCCAGACATTATGATTGACAGGAGCCACCCTGGTGGCTCAGTTGTTTCTGTGATTGCCTTTTCTCTTAAGGATGACTGTTTGGCTTACCCCTGTGGGCTGCAAAGGTGAGCAGGAGGGAATTGGATGGTTGCAGCTACCATGCTAATTTTGTGTATTTAGATCCATGGGATCAGCTTCCTTGGACAAGAGAGAAGAGGAAATAGAAGCCCAGAATGTGGAAGGAACATTAGCATGGCCCGGGAAGGTGCCTCTGATCCCACTGCTTAAAAGATCCATTGGGGCTACCACTGTTAAGGGGCCCCATGAAAGTCATTGTCAGACTTGGAAAGGCTTCCTGGGAGATTAAGCCTCTTGTGCCATTTATTATGAACAACTTTGAGTCAGAACAGCACCACACTGTGCTGCACTCTAACACGCACATTTATCTGATGGAGCTTTTCTCAGAATAAGATGCCAGCCTGGGGAGGAATGCACCTAGAACTTGTGTCCATTTTACACGTGAGAAAACCAAAGGGCAGGTCAGGGAAGGGAAGTATTTTGACCACATCTCAGATTCTCACCACTGTCTCCTCTATTGCATCTTGGGGTATTGGGGCAGGAGAGAGAGAAGAGAGAGGCAGGCCTGGGTGGTCTTCATCCACTGGGTGGCAGACGTGCTGCCACGTGCTGCCACATGCCCTCTGTGGGATGGAGGAGAGACAGGACCAAAGACACACCTTTTCTGTTTTTCCCCGTGGCTCTTGCAGAAGCATGGATTTTTGTTCTTGTTTTTTTGTGTTAAAAATGTTCTTTTTTTGGTACTTGTTAAAATCCGAATAAAAAAATTAAAAATAAACAAAAGTAAGTATAGTAAAGCAAAACAGATCTGCACATCAGCCATGTTGAGGAGCTGGTTATTTAGCAGTAAAAATCACTGCTGCCCACTGCACATGACTTGATTAAGATTTTGGAACTAGTTTGGAGTACTGAAAACCTCAACTGTTTCCTGGAACTTCTTCAGCTTAGCTCATTGGCTCCCCCCTCCCAATTCCAATCCAGAAAGAGGAGGAAAAAGAAGAGTAGTCAACTCCTTCCTTTTCGTCTCCTCCCCCTTTTCTTATTAGAATGATAAACTATTTCCAGAATTTGCCTTTTCTGTAGGAAATGATGTTGTAATCAGGAATAGCTCGGCTAGGAGCTAGATTTAATTAAGACAGCATCGTGGTACGCTTACTGTTTTTTAAGTTGAATTTAATTTTAGGTTATTTCACTGTAGTCTTTCCTATTAAGAATATATGAATAAACAACTCTTTAGAAGAGGTAAAACAAGTGTGTATTCTCCCTAGCCAAATGAACATATGCCTTTCTTCTGGAGTTTTCCTCACCTTGTAATCTTGAGCTGTCTTTACTTTCCTTGGAAAAAATAACAGCTCAGATTCTTGTAGAGCTTTACTGTTTACAGAGTCACCTTCCTCTCACTCATCTTGTGAGTCAGGTATTACAGCAATGAGTATGAGAAAAGAGGGTCAGAACGGTTAGGGGGCTTTGCTCCTCGTCATCCAGCTAGTAAAGGGGAAAGCCAAGACTTGAATACACGTCTTCAGATTCTCCGTCCATTGTGCCCTTCATAAGCAAGGAATCTATTTTAGGATGGGATGTAGTTCTAAGAAATGTTATCTATTAATCATTTACGGGTCAGTGGCTGCATAACTGGCAGATTTTGCTGACTGGTTTTAAAGAGCCAGTTTCTACACACAGGCTTAAATATGTGTATGTATGTATATGTATAGTTAGTGTCAGTAATCATAAAATGAATCCATACATATTTTGTTGTTATTCAAAACAATATTGCTTCTTTCTCTGAAAGTGCTATTATTTGGTGTTTATTTTTATGTTTATCCTTTCAATTATCTTGTGGAAGTATAGTTTAGAAACGGTATAAATTAGGTGACTTGCCCACAAGATTTACTATTATGAAAAACAGTCTGGTATAGTGAATAAAGACTTTGAAGCCAAGAAGAACTGGGTTCAGGTCTCACCAATGACTCATGATGGTGATGGTGATGGTGATGGTGATGACGGTGACGATCTGGATCCAACAGCTAGTATTTATATGGCACTTGAAGGTTTGCAAAGTACTTTCTGTGCATTGTTTTATCTGATCCTGACAGCCTCGCTGTGAGCTAGGTGCTACTCTCTCCATTTTATAAATGAAGAAACTGAGGCCGAGAGCAGTACAGAGCCTTGCCCAGGTGTCTACGGGCCTCTAGACTCTCAGTCTGGCACTTTGTCCACTGCACCATTAGCTGCCCCAGGCCACAGTCGAGAAAGTGCCAGTCTACACTGGTAGAAGTGACTAGTTCTTCCCTGAGAGTTTCCTATAGTGATGGAATCACAGGTCCTGTGCCCCGAGCCAGTCCCTTTACCTGCTGTAATTACAGAGACAAAACTGTTACCTCTTTTCTCCTTGCCTTCCAGTTGAATGTTGTACTTGTCCTCCCAAGAATTAATGTTATATTATCTTTATTCATTCATATCATCTCTTTTACATGGCATAATTCAAAAAAGTGATAAATATACTGTGCCCTTATGCCTCAATTTTAGTAGGAAATATAAAAATGAAACCATTATGAACTAAATTGTGTTATTTGCTTTTTAGTGATTAGAGATTTCCAAGAATACGTAGAGCCTGGAGAAGATTTCCCAGCATCTCCACAGAGAAGAAGTACATTACAGGAAGATACAGATGATAGCGTCATGTTACCGCTGGGCGCAGACACGCTTACATATAACTTAGGTGTCCCGGTGCTCGTAGTTTGCACAAAGGTTGGTGTCCATGTCAGGACTAGTGAGAGATACAGGATTCTTTTGCTTTGGAGGCGGGGGGAGAAGTGCTTTTTCGATGTGAACCTGACCCTACATAACAATTATTATAGCTTAATGGGAGAAATATTTTACAAATTTCAAATTCAAAATTAAAATTCAAAGTCTTAATCCTAGTTAGTCTTTTAAAGAGAATGTAATTTCAAAAATAACTTAAGTCATTTACTTCATTACTTATTTTTGTAACCAATAGCATTATCCTATCACAGAATGGGATAAGTATTAGTAAAATTATTTGTTGTTGTTCAGTATTTCAGTCATATCTGACTTCATTTTTCATGGCAAAGATACTGGAGAGGTTTGCTATTTCCTTCTCCAGCTCATTTTACAGTTAAGGAAACTGAGGCAAACAGGGTAAAACGACTTGCTCAGGGTTACCCAGTTTATAAGTGTCTGAGGCAGGATTTGAATTTAAGAAGATGAGTCTTCCTGACTCCAGGCCCAGCACTCTGTGCACTCTGGCGCCACCTAGCTGCCCTAGTAAAATTATACCTGCTTTTATCTTTGTTAAATAAAAATGAGCAAAAGTTAAAAACCTCAAAAATTTTAGAACCCAATTTTTTACAGTTCATGGAAAATTTAGATATAACCGGGTTAAAATTTACTTGTGCACTAATTTTGAGATAAGAATTTGATAAAGGAGTGATGTAAATAAAATTTCAGGGTGTGGGGTGGCTATCACCTAGGTTAGAGGACATATTTCTTAAGTATTTTGGCAGCATTCATTACATGCAAATTGCTCTTACTCAATGATTGATTAAAAGTAGTCTGATGGACCTTTGCTCTGAAAGACACTTAGTTCAGTTCATTTGTCATATCCTGCATTGAAGTAATAAAGCTACATTTACTTTTTGAAAAATTATGTATTTGAAATTTCCATGTCTCTTCCAGTATAGGTTTATGAACTTTTATTGTGTATCAGTAATAATATACTTAAGAATTTCAAGTCAGTGATTTGCAAATAGCTTTGGTCTTAAGAAATTTAATTTTTATCTTGATCATTTTATTTTAATTTGAACCTTTTAAAATTCTACTCTTAAATGCATTACAAGGAAAGGTGACAAAATACTGAACTATCAGTACTGAAAGATAAACAATTTCAAAATCATCAAACTTAAAAATTGTTTTTCTGTCCTTGAAGTTCCTCATAGTCATTTTCTAATGAATGCATTTTTGCTAGGTACAGTTAAAAAATTACATCACTTTTTCCCCCGTTTTATTTTTGTTAATCTTGATAGGTAAGCATTTCTAGGCAGATCCCATTTTCACCATGATGCATTCCTGGAAAGTGTGTCCTCAGTGGATCTCATTTTCCTATAAGATCAGTGTTATAATTGGGGAAAGTATTATGAACCAACTGTACGAGCCTGAAATGAATCATAGACTCATAGGTTTTTAGATTTGGAAGAGGCCTTTGAGATCATTCTAGCCCAACCCCCTTACTGCACAGATCAGAAAGTGGAGGCCAAGAGATGGTAAGTGACTAGCTAATGGCAGACCTCATTGACTTCCAGGCCAGTGTTGTTTCCATTGTAGCACACTGCCTGTTCCAGTCAGAGCTGTGAATAATTTGAAATTGTGATCATGTTCTTGTAATCCTTTTACAAGGATGAATAAGAAATGGATAAATGAATAGAATGGGTATAAATTGTGTAGTAAAACATATTGATCCCACTGTACTCTAAAGTTTATAGCATATCGGTCTAAATGTGATCTAAAACAAATAGGCTGTCATAAAAACGTTAAACATTTAATTCTTGCCCATCACTTATGGGAAAATTTGGATGGTTCAGGTTTCTTTTAAAAAGCTGTAAAGGGCGTTTTGTTTAATGCCTTATTTTTTTCTTGATAAATTTCTTTTTAACAAATAGAGCCCTTCAGAATCATTCCAGTGTTCTTAGAGCCATGATTTTCAGAAGTAACCTGTTGTTTCTCTTTGACCATTAGTTGTCATGCCTATGCTTTGGTAAACCTTTGATTAATTGAGTAAAGGTGCAGAAAACTGAAACATTGAGGTCAATAATTAAACAAAGTCATGAAGAGATTGGCCAGTTTTGAAGGGCATGAAAGGTGAGGTTTTGCTTTTATATCTAGATGGATCTTAAGTGAATTTTAGATTCTAAATATTTCTTGTGGAAAAGAAATAGTTTAGCTAACCAATTATACTTCAGTATCCTCTTTGTCTTAATCCTTACACAATCTTTAACAGATTAAAACTTCCTCTGAAGTGTTTCCCCCCACAATTTACTTTACCACATTTGTCTCCGGTGCTTAGAGGTGGACCATCAGTCCATAAGATGGAGAGCTGTAAGAGACTGTAAAGGTCCGAGGGTCATGACTTAGGACCACAGTTTTGGAGCCCATCTGAGGCCATCTAGACCAACCCGCTCCATTTTACAGAGTACAAGACTGAAGACATCTAAGGTTAAATGGCTTCACCAGGGTCACACAGGGAATGAGTTGAGAGTCTTAATTTGAACACAAGGCCTCTAATTCCAAAGCCTCCACTTTCCCTTTCCTCTTAATAGGTAGCTCTAAAGCCCTTACACGCATTGGCTATTTTCACAGTAAACTAACGACCTAAATGAGTTAGAGGTGGCAGATTTTCCTGACACTTACCAGGCATAAAGGGAGAGAGTCATTCCCAGCACAGAAACAAGAAGTGCTAGGCTCAGGCCAGCCCCAGGTGATGGCCTGTGTGTCCCTGTCTGTAGGATCACAGATGCAGGGGATCATACTCATTTATTCAATATAGATACCTGCCAGGGTTATTTATTCTCTTACACTCAACTCCCCATGATAAATTCATCTTTTAACAATGGTGGTAGCCCCAGCACTTTACAAATAATGAAGCTTTTCAGTGCCCATCAAGGACCTGGCCACGGGATGTTACGGGCCTAAACAAAAATTTGGAGAATTCTGGAATTTTTTTTTTTTTGGTAGAAGTGCTGCTGCTTCTTTTTTTTTTTTTTTTTTTTTTGGTTAGGCAGTGGGGTTAAGTGACTTGCCCAGGGTCACACAGCTAGTAAGTGTTATGTGTCTGAGGGTGGATTTGAACTCAGGTCCTCCTGAATCCAGGGCCTGTGCTCTATCCACTGTGGAAGCACTTCTTGTATACTACAATGGAAGATCATGGGGAAAATGGAATTTTTTTTTTTACTTCATCTGTCCCTATATTCCACCAACATTAGTTACCACCCCTCTATGCCTTACTAGGCCATCTTTACTTTCCATGACCAAAACTTCATTACCTCTAGGCCAACTTTTTGGTGATAAGCCTCTCCAAAGGCAGCTAGCCTGGTTAACAGACCTATAGTCTGTCTCTGGGCCCATAAACAAAGCCTTTTCTGCTCAGTACTAGAGCTTGCCTTCAGGAGCTCAGGCCTTGATGACTCATCAGCGTAGACTTTGAAAGTGGTGAATCTTATGACTAAAATTCTTTGTTTTATGCAAGCTTTATTTTGACACCTTTCCAGGAATACGTTTCATTAAATAAGGTATACATGTTGTTTTTAAGTGAATTTTTATCTTCTAAATCTTTTTTTTTTTACTATTATTTTCATTTACTGTTCTTATATTGTTATTTAATACCATCTTTTCAGCAATTTTGTAATTATTTTAACTCAACAGTGTGATGCCATTAGTGTGTTGGAAAAAGAGCATGATTACAGAGATGAACACTTTGACTTTATTCAATCACATATCCGGAAGTTTTGTTTACAGTGTATCCTTTTAAAATCTGGGATTGCATAATGATTGTATATGTACAGTAATATCCATATTTTCATTATAGAGGGAAAGGAAGTAAGTTGATTGAATTTCCCAGCGTTCTAAACTTTGAGGGGAAAGAACCCCATTTAATAGTCTCATTTAGGGTCTAATTTTCTGATCAATAGATCATCCATGACTTTTATTTCTCCCTGCCTTGCTGGGTTTTTTTTTGCTACATTCCTGCTCATTGGTTCTCTGAAAGAGAGGATATTTCAGCTAGTGAATTTTGTACTGATTAAAGACATGTATTGCTTGAAGTTGAAAGCATTGGCTTCACGGTATTTATAGTCTACTTGGGGTATAAAACATGCATATTAAAATGTAGCTTATAGTAAGTGCCAAATGAGGGATGCCAACCAAAGTCAGTTCCTTTTATCCTGATGACCTCAGCGGTCTGTGCTTTATCACTGGTAACGATATGAATTCTGAATCCAGTGCCCTTATTGAAGGCTTGGCTTTGTGTCACTAGTTATGCTTTAGAGTCTGAAGCTAAGCACTAACTGAAGCAGACTGTCCTTACACTGGTGTGCATGGAGTACTGTTTGTAGAAAAATGCAAATAATTACCTATTAAAGAAAGTCCCTTTAGCAAGTTAGGTGTTGTATTGAAAAAAATCTAATTAAAGAAGCAGCAGAATGAATTTATATTCTAAAACTCTATGACTTGTTCAGGATGAATGAGCTAGATGAGCCGGTGACCAGAGGAAGTGAAAGGAGAATCTCGAGCAGAGTAATGTCTGCTTTTTGTGATTCATTTGCTAGAAATTCTCCAGTTGTAGCTCGGAACCCTTGGCATGGCTCCCTCTGTATGATTGGATCCCTCGAGCTATCAGCTTGGAGCCCAAGGAAAATGAATCCTGAAGAAGAGTGAAGAAAGTAGAGCTGGGGAAGGAGGAGGTCACTGAAATTCTAGGTCAAAGCATTATGCTGATAGTATTCCCTTTTCCTGTTTTCTATCCCATGCCATCCCTTGTAACTATCAATTTGCCTCCCATCCCTGTAGCAAAAAATGCCATGGATTAGATTCTTGAAAATGGAATTGATTAAAGGACACTGGCTCACTAACAGACACTTTTTTTGTGTATATCAGCAGTGGTGAATTGGAAAGGTGAGGCTGGTGTTCTATAAGATCTTCTGTCCTCTGAAAGTTATCTGTACACCCGACAATTTAAGATTAAATGTTCTTCCTGCCCCCTTCCCCCCCAAAAAACCCAACCTACAACTACATATACTATACCTGAGAAAGACAAATATGGAATGGCAGCTGTAGAAGAATCAGTCTTGCTTCCCAGTTCACCTCACCTGATTGCTAATTAATTTGCAAGTATCCAAATCACATTAAAGTGCTGGAAGGTAAGGTGTATGAAATTTGAAAGTGAATGAGGACAGCGTGGGAAGATTTTTCTTAATGGTGAAGAAAACAGTGCTTCCTAGCTTCCTCCCATCACTCCCTCTCAACCCCCTAGATTTTTGTAGATAAAGAAATGTGTATCTTCCTGTCGTTTTTGGTCTAGTAATGTTGTTGTTTCTACCAATTTTACTGTTGCTTTGGGGTTTGAGAAGAAATAAAGCATTCTAAGTAGTTTACTTGATGCATCTGTTTCATATGTTATTTAGTTTATACTTAAGTAGTTTTATTTAAAAAAAGAGAAAGAGAAACAATTAGTAAAAAACCAGCATCACTACTGTGGAAGCCAATAATTATGGGTGCTAACATTCCAGGTATTGTGCCTAACACGTGTCTGGTAATTTTACAGTCTGCTCAGAAATTTCTTTAACACATTGATTTAGATGGTGCAGCACTTATTTACACTTCAGTAAAGGAAAATAAAAATATAGATTTAGTATATAAGTACATTGTTCAGAAATTATACGGATTCCCTTTTAAGATCCCTGCTGTTGTTGTGGAAAAAGATGCAGTATTTATGTAAGTATCTCATAGGTTGAAGGTACTCTCTGATATTTTTTCTTTCAGAGGTGATGATATTGATAGTGAGTTGTTTGGAAAGACCATCGTGGGAAAAACCCAGAGGCAGGGGCAGAGGCAGGGGCTGGAGGGAGGTGGGAATCAACAGGATTTTTTTGCTATGTATTAAAAAAAAAAAATCGGTTGTTCAAGAAGAGAATTTCCTTTCCCTCGAGCTGCACGGGTAGTTTGTCTCTTGCCTTTTAGTTGTTTTCCAGCCATCTAATTAATTATACCACAACATCAAAGAATTTCAGCTTATTTACATGTAACACATGTGAATGTTATTTGTATTAAAGATAGGGACTGGCCTTGTGATTTCATTTGATATTGAGGCCTCCTGGGTAAGTAAACTCCCTCTACCAAAATTGGTCAACACTTTCTCTGCCACTTTGAGTCTGAGACAGTTGCTTAGATCCCAGAGAAGGGAAGTGAGCTGGCCAGCTGGGGTCCCCGCAGCAGTCTCTGGGAATCACAACAGTCTATCGCACCACACTGCCTCTAATATTTTTATATTGCCAGGTGTGTAAGAGAGGTCTGGTGAGCCAGTGTTCCTAATGTTGTTCAGTCATTTCAGTCATGTCCAATTCTTCACGACCCCCATTGGAGTTTTCTTGACAGAGATACTAGAGCGGTTCGCCATTTCCTTCTCCAGCAAATTTTACAGATGAGGAGACTAAGGCTAACAGGTTGAAGTAACTTGCCCAGGATCACACAGCTAGGAAGCTGAGTGTTCCAGACTCCAGGCCCAAGCTCTGTGCACTCTGGCGCCACCTAGGTGCCACTTCCTAATACATACCTATAAAGGTGACTGAGGATATCAGTATTGAGTTTGAGGGGTTTATCCATTCAAGGAAAAAAAATCAATTTGTTGCTTTGAAATGCTTAAAGGCATGTATCTGAATGAGATCAAGAGGTTCCTAGGGTCAGAGCTGCATCCAGATTATCACTAATAATGATCCTATTTTATGAAGACATCTTCTATCAAGAAAACTCCTATCACTTTACATCCTGTCCCCTGTAACAAAGGCCTTGGCCATTAAAAAGAACCCAAATTTGAATAATCAGGACCATGGCAATGAACCATAACAGATTCCTTCTTCTTGTGGCATTGGGTTGGAAAAGAGGATATATACCTATATAAGTGGTTAAGAACTGATGTCTACGTAATGTTTATTTCTAGTCCAGCAGGATGGGATAATGATAAGAAAATAGGAATTTTACATGAAAATTTTCAAACGTTAAAAGCAGAAGATAGTTTTGAAGATATTATAACCAAACCACCTGTCCGAAAGGTAACTTGATTTTATTATCTGTTTTTAATGGAAACGGCCTCAAAACGAATGTGTTGGTGTTTTACATAAAGAAATGGGACTGTAGTCCTTCCAGGAGTTTGCTTGCTTGTAAGGAAGGACCTTTTCTATTTATTGTAGCTCTGATGACTAATTGTAATTATAACAAGGGTAAATTGAGCTAAAATTGAGCTCTTAGATTACTTAGCTTTGTAGGGGTTTTGCTTTTAGCCTATATTTGCTCACAAATGTAAGCACATATTCACATTTTTATAGTAGTGGAGAGTCATATGGTACTTATTTCATACCATTGGAGATTGAGGGTTTTATAAGCTTCTCAATCCTTTCCTGCCCAGAGAAACCAAGAACCGTTCATCCTCTATCTTTCCTTTCCCACTTTTAAGAAGTTAGTTGTGCATTTAAAGGATAAGATCAAAGATCTAGAGCTCAAAGAGACCTTAAAAGTTATCTCATCTCCATCCCTTCTAGTTTACAAATGAGGAAAGTGAGCCCTGAAGAGGGTAAGGTATTTGCTTAGGGTCACATAAGTAGTAAATTGCAGCACCAGTGTTTGAACCCAGATCCTCCAAATCTAGCATTTTTTTTTTCACTGAATCCATACAGATCTTATAAACAGTTCAGTAATTAGGCAGGCCACAACGATTCATATAACTATGATAAGTAGTTCTTAGGATCTTTGAAATTTCTTTACTGGAGGGTTAAGTAAGGGTTTATTGAGCATAGGTAGGCCTGCTGGCCTAATCATCACTTCAGTAGATTACGAGATTCTTTTAGGGAAGAATCCAGTTTTGGGTTGGAAGACAGGAACATGCCCTATTTTGTTGCGTCTCTGCAATAATAAATGGTGAAGGTGGCTCTGTGTGGTGACGGGGCTGGCAGAACAATGAAACTTCCTGCCTACCTTTTATCTGAGCCAGCCTTAAAATGTAGAAAATTGAAAAATTAAAGGGGGCTTGAAGCCATCATGGATTCAAACCAGATGACCTTTTCCTGGTCCTTGTAGCTCTGGGATTCTGTAGTTCTTTAAAACACAATTAAGCAAACGAAAACTTAGGAAACCCAACTTAGGCAAAAGCCTAAGTGATTGTACCCAGTCTGCTTTAATGCCTGGGAATGGGGCAATGATGAGCTGGCTGTGACTAGGAGGATCTGAGTTCCCCCCAGTAGAATGTAAATACTTTGAAAGCAAAGACTATTTCTGTGTAATTTTTTGGTTTTGGCTTTCTTTTTGTTTTATGTTTGTTTGTTTCTTTCTATTTGTTTGTTTGTTTTGTAGTTCTTTAGCCCTAACTCCTAGCATAGGGTCTGGAAAAGTTTTTAAAATAATAATGTTGGGGGCGGCTAGGTGGTGCAGCAGATAGAGCACTGGCCCTGAAGTCAGGAGGATCTGAGTTGAAATCCGGCCTCAGACCAAACACTTGACACTTACTAGCTGTGTGACCCTGGGCAAGTCACTTAACCCCAATTGTCTTAAAAAAAAAATAATGATGATGTTTTATACATCAGACACCTGAATGTGTCTTGGACCAACTAGCAAACATTTATTAAACTCCCACCTAATATAGTAAATGTTTTGGGAAATGGGGGAGAATATAAGAAAAGTAAATAAAGGTTATTTTCCAGGGAGAAAGAATTATCTAGGTCCATATACAATAAGTAGCATACATGATAAATGAAAATTACTTAATATCAGTTGTGTCAAACTCAAATAGAAATAGGGACCACTAAACCGTGTATAACGATACCTGCAGGCTGCATATTGACTCAGAAAACCACATAATAACGCTGTATGTGTTACATATTTATGTATGTTAAATATTTCCCCATTACATTTTAATTGTGTTCCTCCTGCAACACTTGAGGTTAATGGGCCACGTTTGATATACCTACTTAAAATCACTCACAAAGCACAATGCAAGTGTTTGCAGATCTATGCAGTACCTAGTAAAGAAGAGACCTCCAGGTGTTGGGCTCCTGGAAAGAACCTGTGTGCTGGGAGACCTTAGATAGGAGTGCCTCCTTTCTTATAATATGGAGCCTGCAGTTTCCCAGACAGTTTTTGCTGGTTTCTTCTGCTTGTCACTTTAGCAGCCAACTCTTGAGACATCTCCTTTAGACTGAAGTTAAGATCTTTGGAGCTATATCCAAATCCTATCTTATCAGATGTTTATCTTGTCAATGTTTCCTATCTTATCAGATCCCCGGTCTGACTCCCCCAAAATGAGGCAACCAGATGGGAAGGTTGAATCTATGTCAACATCTATTCAGTGCAAAGAATAAGATTGACTTTGGGAGAGATAACATCCATATTCTAGTACAATTTCTGATTTTTCCATATCTTTAGAGTAACATATCAATACCATAATGTGTTGAACTCAAACATTTCTTGCTTCAGGTTGTTCATGAGAAGGAAATTGTAGCAGAAGATGACCAAGTATTTCTTATGAAGCAACAGGTCAGTACATTTCATTTGAAAACAGATTTAGAATTTAATATATAAACTCGTTCTCTAACAATATTTGAAAAATTGAAGCAAAAATCTTGCCTTTAATTATACATGCCTAAACTAAGTTGTTTTTATTTTTCAGTCCCAGTTAGCAAAGCAACCACCAACAGCTGCTGGAAGGCCAGTGGTTAGTATTACAAAATTAAGAAAATGCAGGAGTGTATATTACTTTGGCATTTTTTTCCTGAGAGAGAGAGAGAGAGAGAGAGTGTGTGTGTGTGTGTGTGTGTGTGTGTGTGTGTGTGTGTGAGTGATATAGTTGTCTTATCTAGTAGTAAAGACAGAGCTGAAAACTTGGTCTTTTTTGTTGTTTTAAACATAGCTTTTACTCCATTTCAAGAAACAATTTAAATTTTGAAAGTCTTTAAAGGCAGTCCTCAAACAGTCCAAACATCATTTAAACTGGCTGTTTAGAATTTGTTTTCATGTAGAAACAGTAGTGGTTAGGTTTCCAGGCTGGCCCAGAGAAACACATATATAATCCATAATACATGCAAAAAGGGAATGTAACCTAGTGGATGGAGAATTAGGAAGCCCTGGTTAAATCTGGCCCCTGATAGATATTGTGGGACCCCAGACAGGTCACTTAACTTCTTAGTAGCCCAGGTAACTCCCTAAAACCATATCTTGTAGAGAAGATGCAGACTTGTATAGGTGGAGGGAGTGTTCTCCCAGGGCTCCCTATTCTAAATAAAAAATCCAAGTACATCCATGTATTGTACTAAAGGTGCTGTAGCACCCCAACATTCATGTGTAGCAGCATTTGCATGGGAGCTGCAGCCTGGAAACAATAACTCCACTACCCATACAGTGTGAGAGAATATCTTCCTCCCCATCATTCAGAACTCCTCAGAGCTGAGGTCAGGGGGGCTTCATGGCCTAGGGCTGGGAGGAAATGATAGTGAAAGAGAATTTTCCCCTCCAGCCTCACTTTGCCCTTTGTTTTATAATTAATATTGTGCTTTGTTAGTGTCCTGTCCTCTACTAAATTGTAAGTTTCTTGAGACTGGGGGCCACTTGGTATTTGCCTTAGCACCAGCACAGGGCTACCCCCAGTATGTGCTTAAAAATATTGATTGCCTGGTTTAGATTCACCTTTGAGGTGAGGAGCCTCACCTCAAACTGTAACTACTGTTAGTAGTTATAAAATGGGATGAGGTAGTACTTTGCACTGAAAACCCAGTCACCCCGTAGCTTTTCTTTTTAGGGCTTGTCGTCTTCTACTTTTGATAGACGAGGGATTAAAAACCAGATCCCTCTGTAGCAAGTTTCCAACCAAAGAAAGTTTACTAAAAATAAAACTTCATTAAATGAATTTGGGCTGGGCTAAAGTTTATATGTTAAACTTTGAAAAAAAGTATGTATGAAACTTTGAAAAAAATTGTTAATCAAATTAAACAGGATAATAGAAGAAAATATTTATTCTAATAGAACAAATTTTCTTGCTTCTTGAGGCATCCATTTACATTAGTCTTGCTTGTGAGATTGTATATATTTGAAGATGTAAATAAGTCTCATAGGATCAAAGATTTAGAGCTGAAAAAAGCCTCAGACACCATCTAGTCCGGGACCTAGATGAGGAAACTGAGGCCCAGAAGGCTAAGTGACTTGCCCAAGGTCTTATGGGTATTGATGCTTACCATCTCTGTGACCTTGGGTCAAGTCCAGATCTGTGATTCTAGGATCCTGTCTCTGTGTCAGTCTTTTCACTAATTTGGATGGAATTTTTTTCCCCTTCACTAAGGTGTGGTATCTTTTATTTTTTGAAGATGACCATTGCCTTTCTTCTCTATGTCCTTGTTACTTTTATGCACAATTAAAAGGGTCATTGTGTCGTGGAGGGGTCTGTGCTCCAGATAGCCTGCAGTGTGTTCTCCCCAGGGCAGAGTTGTTCATGGGTAGCTCAGAGTCAGATGTGTCAATGGAGTGGGGGGAGGGGGGTGCAGTAGGGCCAGGGCAGTTTTGTACAAAACAATCTCTTTGGTACTGGAAGCTTCCGTAGTTGTTGGCAAACTTCACAGATCCTCCTGTTACTGTCTTGGCACAGGATTCCTCTCCACGAGTTCCTGGCGGCTCCCCTCGAACACCTAATAGATCAGTGTCATCCAATGTGGCCAGCGTGTCACCCATCCCTGCTGGGTCAAAAAAAATTGATCCAAATATGAAAGGTATCTTTTTCTAAGAGAATAAGTTTGAGAAGTTTTGGGCCCCCTTTTAGCACATGCATCATACTGCTTTCATTGATCGTTTATTACACTGTTGCTACAGTAGACATTATTTACATAGGACTAACCTGAGATAAGAGTTAATGTGCTCAGATTCTCAAAATCGGAACTCAAAACTCAACTGAAGTAGTCTGACCTGTGTCAATGCCCTTCCAGACTCTAAGCCCCGAAAGGCAAGGAATTGACAACATCTAAATTGTTTCTCCCCCTGAGATGTGCAATACTCAGTCCAGAGAAGGCCCTTCATACATGAATCTTTTTAGTTAGACTGAGTTTATCTAATAGCATTTCCCATTTAGGGAGGGATGAAGACGTTTTATTAATAAAAACATTTATTTTCATGCAGCCGGAGCTACAAGTGAAGGTGTCCTCGCTAATTTCTTCAATAGTTTGCTGAGTAAAAAAACAGGCTCACCCGGGGGCCCTGGTGTCGGTAGCAGCAGCCCCGGAGGGGGCGGGGGTGGCGGCGGAGGCAGCACTTTACCACCATCGGCAAAAAAGTCAGGTATGGTGGACTCTAGTAAATAATTGACTTTTCATTTTTGTGGATTTTTTTCCACAAAACCCATATTTTAAACTTTTTATAGGTGAGAAGCTGAGGCACAGTGAGGTTATGATTTAATGAGACAGCTAGGACCAAAATCTAAGACTCCTGACTTGTAAAGAATTCCATACTTGTGATATTGCAGAGGTAGTAAACTTTATGTGGGGGGTGGGGGTGAGGTCTCATTTGACCTTCCCAAGGACCTAGCAGATATTTGCTTTGGAAACCAAAGAACTTCTCATCGTTGGTCCTCAGGCCCTGGGCCAATTCCATACCCCCTGGACCCCAGCCATTCTGAAGCACTGCAATTGGAGATTGCATGAAGCAACTGGAAGAGTTCCACAAAGATTGATTTCATGATTATATTGGAAAATAAGCCCTATGTGGAAAGCTTTTCTTTAACCTGGAAAAGAGTGGGATAGAAAGTAATTGATACAAGGCAAAATAAAATGTATCGTTTGAAAGACTATAGAAATCTTTTGGTAAAAAAGAATATGCTGCTCCCTGGTGGTATTTTCTGATGAATGACACTCCAGAGGGAACTTGGGTCATTCTGGAACAGAGCAGAGGGTTAAATGAACCAACAAACCATTTCCTGGCACTCTCCCTCATTAGCTCCAGAAAATAGTGTGACTTGGGGTTAATTCCGGAAACAGTCCTCTGCCTGAGAGGTCCAGGGCCCTTTAGGCCATTCCCTGGCCAGAGAACACTAACAAGAGCAGATGAGGCTGAGGTGCCAATGAGGAGGCTCAGCAATCCAGACAAAAAGCCCTGTGGTCCTCCAGCGTGCCTTACCCGAGGCCTGAGGGGTCTTTAGCCTCAGATTAGCAAAGTTAAGTCAGCATAGTGCCTTTGTCATCTAGAACCCCACTCTCCTCCAGGTTCATTGGAACTTAAACAGCTTGTGGAAATAGAGGCGTGGGGATTTAGAAAATGCTCATTTCTTATACATATTTCTGTTGCTTATCACTTTTACAGTTTCAGGATGAGGTAAGGTAAGGATTGGGGTGAAATATTGAAAATGATGGAATGAACTGTGTGTGTTACATGAGTTGTAGTCCTTAGAGTGTGCCTACTCTTAGGTTCTAGAAATAAACATTTTTGTTTACATGACTAAAAAGTAGGCCTGGATTTTGAGTAGTTGTTCAGTTTGTCTTTTTGAACTATAACATTGTTTGTTTAGTAGTGTTTGCTAGTTGTGTATCATTTTATCTATGCATCCTAGAGGTTGTTTCATAAATGTACTAACTAGTAGCTGACCTTGTTAAAAACCGTTTTGCATGAATCAGCAGCTTTTGAAATGCTTCTGCTGGTAGTTCCTAAAATTGTAAATATTTGTATTTACATATCCTGCCTTATTGTGGCAGAGGGACTTGCATAGCTCAGTAAAATTATGAGCTATGCTGTGCAGTGTTATCTTATAGAGACAGGTCATAGTGGAGAGTTCTGACAAAAGGTGATCCATTAGAGAAGGAAATGGAAAACTACTCCGATATCTTTGCCAGAAAACCCCATGGACAGTAATAAAAAAGATAGACGATGTGACACCAGAAGATGAACCCTTCCGGTCTGAAGGTGTCCGGCACACCGCGGGAGAAGATCAGAGGACGCGCACAAGTAGCTCTAGGAAGAATGAAGCAGCCAGGCCAAAGCCAAAGGGAAGCTCAACTGTGGATATGCCTGGTGACAAAAGGAAAGTCTGATGCTACAACGATCAGTGTGGCATACGAACCTGGAATGTAAGATCTGTGACCCAGGGAAAGCTGGGTATGGTCAGACAGGAGGTGGAAAGTTTGAACATCGACATCTTGGGTGTCTGTGAGTCTGTGAACTCAAGTGGATGGGCATGGGTGAGTTTAGTTCAGGTGATCACTACATATACTACTGTAGGCAAGAATCCCTTCGAAGAAATGGAGTGTCCCTCCTAATTGATAAAAGGGTGAGAAAAACAGTACTGGGGTATCATCTCAAGAATGACCAAACAATGTCTGTTCAAATCCAGGGGAAACCATTCAACAGTAATACAAGTATTATACACTAATACAAGCCTATGCTCCAACCACTGATGTCAAAGACGCTAAAATTGGTCAGTTCCATGAAGACCTACATCATCACTAGAAATCATATCAAAAAAAGATGACTCACTGGTCATTACAAACACTTTTTCAACAACCCAAAAGGCGACTCTACACATAGACATCACCAGATGATCCATATCACCATCAGACTGATTATATGCTTTGTAGCCAAAGGTGGAAAAACTCTGTATAGTCAGTTAACAAGACCTGGAGCTGTCTGTGGCTCAGATCATGAGCAAAATTCAGACTTAAATTGAAAAAAGTAGGGAAAACCATCAGCCCATATAGGTAAAACCTAAATCACGTCCCATATGAATATGACATGGAAGTGATGAATTGGTTGGAGGGATTAAATCTGGTGCACAGAGTTCCTGTGAAACTATGCCGTATTGTACGAGAGACAACAACAAAAACGCCCCAGAGAAAAAGAAGAGCAGGAAAGCAAAATGGCTGTCTGATGAGGCTTTACAAATAACTGAGGAAAAAGGGGAAGGGAAAGAGATACCCAACTGAATGCAGAATTCCAGAGAATAGCAAGGAGAGAAGAAGATTTTCTTAAATGAGCAATATAAAGAAATAGAAGAAAACAATGGAATGGAAAAAAGGAGATGTCTTCAAGATAATTAGAGATATCAAGGGAATGTTTCATGCCAAAATGGCCTTGATGAAAGACAAAAATAGTAGGACTTAACAGAAGTAGAAGAAATGAAAAAGAGGTGGCAAGAATACAAAGAAGAACTGTACAAGAAAGATCTTAACATCACTGATGACCAGCATGGTGTGGTTGCTGGTCTAGAGCCAGACACTCTGGAGAATGAATTCAAATGAGACTTAGGAAGCATTGCTAACAATGAGGCTAATGGAGGTGATGGAATTCCAGCTGAACTATTTAAAATCCTCAAAGGTGATGCTATTAAAGTGCTGTATTAAATATGTCAGCAAATTTGGAAAACTCAACACAGTGGCCATTGGATTGTAAAAGATCAGTTTACATCCCAATTCTAAAGAAGGGCAATGCCAAGGAATGTTCAAATTGCTGAGCAGTTGTGCTCATTTCACACACCAGCAAGGTTATGTTTAAGATTCTAGGGGCAGCTAGGTTACACAGTTGATAGAGCTCCGGCCTTGGAGTCAGGAGTTCAAATCTAGCCTCAGGCACTTGAAACTTACTAGCTCTGTGACCCTGGGCAAGTCACTTAACCCCAATTGCCTCACCAAAAAGCAAGAAAAAAAAAAGCAGAGGATGCCTGTTTTTGGTGAGCTCTGTCTCAAGTGAAACATGTAAGAGGTAAAACAGGAAAGAGAAATCATAAGAGACTTATTAAGGTTGAACTGTTTACATTCCTGCATGGAAAGATGATATTTGTAACTCATGAGTTCTTTGTCAGTATTAGAGTAGTGGGAGGGACAAAAATTATATGTCTGTATAGCTGGATAGATAGAGGGCACAGGTTGAGCTGAAGATGAAGGGTGATATCTGGAAAATAAAATTAAGAGGTGAGAGAGGATTATAGTGGGAGAAGGAGAAAGGGAGAAGTAGAATGAGGTAAAATATCTCACATGAAACGGACATGAAAAGGCTTTTACAGTGGAGGGGACATGAGGGAAGGTGAGAGGGAATGAGTGAATCTTATTTTCATAGGATTTGGCTTAAGGAGAGAATAACATACACACTCAATTGGGTATGGAAATCTATCTTACCCTACAGGAAAATGAGGGGGAAGGGAACAAGAGAGGGTAGGCAGATTGGGGGAGGGGATAATCCAAAGCAAACACTTCTGAGGAGGGACAGAGTCAAAAGAGAGACTAGAACAAATGGGGGATAGGATAGGATGAAAGGAAATGTACTTAGTTTTTCACAACAGGACTACTGTGGAAGTGTTTTGCATGACTGCACATCTATAACCTGTACTGAGGTGCATGCCTTTTCAATGAGGGTGGGTGGGGAGGGAGGAAGGGAGAAAATTTGGAACACAAAGTTTTAAAAACACATGCTAAAAATAAAGAAAGAAAGAAAATTAAAGAAAAAAAGAAGTCTCTAGATGTGGCGTGAAAGAGGAGAGTATAAAAGCTGGCTTGAAGCTTAACAAAAAAAAAAAGCAACAAAAAAATAAAAACTAAGATCTTTGCAATTGGTTCCATCACTTCTGGGCAAATAGAAGGAGAAGAAATGGAAGCATTGTCAGATTTTGCATTCTTGGGCACTGCAGACAGCAACTGCACCATGAAATTAAGACACTTGCTTCTTGGAAGGAAAGCTGTGGAAAATCTGGACAACATAGTATTAGGCAGAGACGTCACCTTGCTGACAAAGGTCTGTATAGTCAAAGCTATCGTTTTTTTCTAGTGGTGGTATATGACTGAGAGTTGAACTGTAAGAAAAGTTGAGTACCACAGAATTGACACTTTCAAATTGTGGTGCTGGAGAAGACTTTTGGCCCCATAATTAAAACTCATTAGAAAAGACCCTGCTGTTGAGAAAGATTGAAAGCAAAAAGAGAAAGAGATAGCAGAAGATGAGATGGATAGATAGTGTCCTGGAAGAAACAAACATGAGCTTGGATGGATTTTGAGAGACAGTGGAGGATAGAAGGGCCTGGCATGCTATAGTCCAGGGGGTCATGAAGAGTTGGGCATGACTGAGTGACTAAATAACAGCATTTACATGTTTAATCTCCCACTACAAGGTACGTTTTTTGAGGGTAGGAACTGTTGCCTTTCTATCTTAGATGCCCAGTGCAAAACCTTAATAACTCGTGGTTAAATGTAAAAATAATTGGAATAGAGACCAAGCCCCCAAATAGTGGTCAGTGAATGCCTTTAAGTAGTGTCCTCCCGCCATCTAGCCACTGGTACTAAACACATTTTTCATTACAGAGGTCAGGGTTATCCCACTTCACAGAAGCAGCACCACTTCTCATGGTACTTAATGATTAGGTTGTAAATGGAGACGGTAACATTCTTTGAGCATTTGGAAAGGAGACTGGAAACATTTTTGTAAAACACTTCAGTTTTTGATCTTTAGATTTTTGTACATTGAGGATAGATCCCAGGGAGAAACTGCACAGTTGGGGAATAATGTGAACTCAGGGACACCAGATGTTAAATTTGGCCTTTGCCACTCACTAGCTGTGTGACCCTCAGGTAACTCTAAGATTGGTCTACTCATTTGTAGAAGGGTTGCTGGATGAAATCTGAAACACTGATAAAATCACAAATTGTTGAAGGATTGATTGGGGGGTGAAAGGGAGAAGATGGGCTCATTATCTTTAGCTTCAGCAGAGCCATCAGCCAGTTTTTAACAGGTTTGTTCTTTGCCACTCTACAAAGAGCCAATTTGGATGACCCTTAGGTAACAAACAAAGGCTTCACATTTTGTATGATGAATCCCCAATGTAGATGATCTGTTCATAGATTATTTGGTATTGTTTAGAAATTAGTAATATAACTTTGGGATACTGCTATATTCAATTGTAGTTGCTACTGATAAGTCATCTGAAATAATGAACCTTGAAAATTTGAGTGTTGTTATAGGAATTGCTTCCATGTAGGCAGTTTCAAGTTTGATATTCCTTTGGTAGGTAGAACCTTTTTTAACTGAGTACTTGCCATAATTTATTGTGTAAGACATAATTTTCAGTTTATTTTATGATTAGATTTTTATTAAGAGCATTAATGTAAATGAAGTACTTTTTCTTGTGAACTCACCGTTTTATTTTTCATTTTTCTGTAGGCCAGAAACCTGTCTTGACAGATGTTCAGGCAGAATTGGATAGAATTTCACGAAAACCTGATATGGTTTCTCCTACAACACCAACGTCCCCTACAGAAGGTGAAGCATCTTGAAGATACCAAATAAAGCCATTTATTCAGTTTTCTGAGATAATGTAAACTTGCCTCTGCCTTTTCCTTCAGAAGTGGAATTAGGGAGCTGAAACATTTTTTTCAGAAGGATAAAATTGATGTCTTTTTTTGTTGCCCAATCTTACAAAAAGGGAACTGTACAAATGGAAAATTAAACTACACTATGTCGGACTGCTGTTTGCATTGCCACTTTGCATAAGGAAGTAATTTTGAGATTTTGAACACTCAAAAGAATTTCTAAAATTGCAATTTGTCCATTTGATCTTATTCTAAACACCATTTGGGGTTGTTTTTTTTTAATGGGAGGGTTTGGGGATGGGTGGTAAGCAATATGCAACATAGGCACTGTACTGACTTGGAAATCCCTGTCTGTTTTAGAGTGAGGGCTGTTAAGATGGTAAATAAATTAACCTGTTAGTTTTCCTGGAAGACACATGATGACTTGTTCACTCTTGTGTGCACCAACATGAATGCATTAAAATTCTGTTTACTGCCACATGTGGAATGTGCTCACCAACCTACTGGATCACATCTGGGCCACTAGATCTATTGAAAGTTGTGGGGCAGTGTCCTCTCCCAAGTGGATGGCCTAGAGACATGTTGACCAAGTTTGATTTAATTAACTAGCAGAAGATGACAGCCCACTGCCTAAATATGTAACAAAGAAAAATGCAGAGGTTATCCAAATGAAAAGAAAAACAGTTTCAATATTTGTTTCTCTATGGCCCAGCCTTAATACTGCCCTATATGTTTTCCACATTACCGTGATGGTTTTAATGATCAGTCTTTTAAACTGTAATCAGTTAATAAAGTATTTATTCTCTGCATTCAGATTTAAATAATTCATTGCATTCTCTTGTTTAAACTTCTATTTATTAGTTAACAAAAGATAAGGTGTGCTAGTATTTTTATGTTTGACTCAGGATTTTTAAAGCATACTGATAATTCTCATCTCTTCATCCAGATTTTCCTATGACAAAACTAGTTAATTTTATTTCAACTTCCTTGATTTTGTATACCAAGGAAATATAGGGAACAGTGGATGGTTTACTTGCCTCTGATAACGTTGCTTCCCTAAGGATGGAAAGTTTCCATATTCTGGAACTTTCTATAGCGTTCAGCCTCAAATGATTATTGAATGAGAGAGTCTGCTTTTTTAGCATTTGGTCAGTATGCTCACGGTGAGCTACTCCCTTCCAAATCAACACTTGTGTCATTTCTCCAGTAGTAGATTTTCAGTAGCTGGGATTTTAGAATCTAACTATAGTAACATTAAATTAGAGGATATTTTCATTGATCAGTTGATGAGTGCAGCCATGTTAGACCAACTTAAACCAATTAGGTTATTTTTTTTCATTGTTTGCTTTCTTTTAAATGACGCCTCAATTTTAAACTTTAAAGATATATTCTATATTCCAAAGATATTCTTTAGAAGTCCCTGAAGCATTAAAGAAAAGTCATCTTTCAGGAGGTCTTTCAAAATCAATTTAGTTGTAGAAAAAGCATTTGGTTTACTGTAACTGAACATAAATACTGAAGGTATGTGAGAAGAGGAAAAGCTTCATAGCTTCCTCCATAAGGGAGTTCTTGGGAAGGAAAAGATGTTCCTTCACACTGCAAAGTTGTCAATTTGAAAAAATTTTTCTTAAAATACACTTGAGATAAGTAAAACATACCACTGACAAAAGAATAAATATTCAGCTCAGTAAGTGGTTATGCAAATTGTAATGATACCAATTTTTCTAAACTAGTACTTGACACTAATACAGAATAACTGGGAAGACCAATAAAATTGATGTTTAATCTGCGTCTCTGTATACCTTGAATATCTACTTCTGTGTTTGCATGCACGGAATAATGAGCTGTTTCCCGTAGGACATGGAGATGTACCAAAAAGCCCCAGAGATGAATCCAATTCTTTATGTGCCATCTGGCATCACCAGTTCTAGTTGCTCTAGAGCAGAGGTGTCAGACACTTTCCCAAACCAGATTAAAATGTAATTGGGACATATTTAATAAAATAAAAATACAGTAGAACATAAATAATGTTAATATGTGGTTTTCTGACTGCAGCCTGCAAAAATCCTTATATAGTAAGTTTAGTGGACCCTTTTTTATTTGAATTTGATACCACTGTTCTAGAAGGTTCAGATATAACTAATCCCAGCTCCTTACCTTTAGCATGTCTGGGTGCTAAAACTATTTTTGTACTGCCTAATGTTTGCAAGGAAGACACTTTGTTTTTTAACATCTCAGTTGTCCATCCTAACCTTCAGATATCAAATTTTGAGGCCTTTTGTGAGACTGGACAAATGGTGCATATATTAAAAAAGTGTCCATTACATGAGTTTCTTTTTTCTTACTTTTACAGAGAATTGCTTTGCTTTTTAAACTGTTGAAATCACAAAATGCCCTCCTCCATGTAGTTGTCATCTCATTTAAAATGTTTATGCTTTATTAAATTACTTTTCCCCTTTTTGTGAATTCTTTGTATAAGATAGTCAAATTTAGTCCTCTACTGAAGAACTATTTATTCCTTAATTGAAAACTTCTCTGTTTGCCTTAATTTAAAGAAATGTATAAAATGAATATGAGCAGTGCACTTAGTTGAATGGGTTAAAATACAGATAAGGAGAATCTTGCCTTAAAATTATTTAAACCCTTCACTTAGTGACCCTTTGGGCAACAAAAATGTCACAGTATCATGAATAAATGCTTTATTCAAAGACAAATTGTAGTAAACCCCTTATTATCCATGTTTGCAGATGTCTGATATGTAAAATTTATTTTTTTAAGTCACTCATTTGCCACATTTTAAACCAAGTATCAAAATCAGTAGTTTGTTTTTTTCCCCCTCAAGGCCACCCCTGTATTGGAGGGTGCCAATGATATGACAAGATAGGAGTAGCAAAGACAGGACCCATTATGCTAATGTATATGATCTTGAAAATAGAGGTACTCCCAACAACAATATGGCAGGTCACAGCTCATCCTCTCCAAGTGTTGTTACAATTTAAAAGAAGATACTCTGAAAGTTATAAGGGAAATGATAATAGTCATTGCAAATGACTGTCAACGATGGTGAATTGCAATTTTTCAAAGAAATTATTTACCTAAAATACATCCACTGTTACAATATACTCTTTCTGGTGTCTAAATAATCAGAGTACTGAGTTTTCTTGTAATATAAAGTGGTAATATTTTTGTTGAAGTTCCCCGGGGGAAAAAAAACAGATTATTAAATTCACCTTAGTTATTATTAACTCATTCTTGTATGTTTTTTTAAGTTTTTTAAATCATCCTAAGCAATGATCAGGTCCAAAATTAATATGAGCCAATTAAGAATATTTTTAAGCATCATTCCAGCCCTGGAAAAAATTGGAGGAAATAAAAATGCTTATGTTTCTTCTCACCCTCCCCCCTTGGGGGATAATAACCTTGCTCCTTAACTCTCAGATTTCTGTAATAAGTGGTTGATACTATTGAACAAGAAGGACAACTGGCAAGTGGAAAGACATTGTCACTTGTGTAAAAAGTAGTTTAAAGGTTCAGTTGTTTGTTGAAAAGGCATTTAGTAAATTATTTTAAAATGAACATATTAACTAATAAATAGCTATACTTCCTTGATATATCCATGAATGTGTGATCTCGCTGATACAGGTACTTCCTCTAAGGGTGCACATCATGATCCATTTGTACCTTCTCATCACATGGGAGACCTAACTAACTATGTCTTCCCTTAAATCCTCCATGAGGGTTTCACCCAATGTCTTGGAGGCTTTCCTCCAGAGCTCTTGACATTGTATAGATTGTAGTACAGTACACAGAATATGTCAATTGTTTTTCCTTCACTTATGCCTATGTTTATCAACACATTGTCCCTGTCTGACAATTTATACCTTATTACGTGTATTTTCCACCATCTCTCTGCCAAGAGCATGAAGGTGTTTTTCATAGTTATCCGAAGTCACGATTGGTCACTGTACCGAGCAGTTTTAATTCCTTTCAGTGTTGTTCTTCTTTACATTTTTAAAAATATGTTTATATGAATTCTTCATAGTGGGAGAGAGGAGGACTTTGTAACATAAATAGTTTAGCAAAAATAATCCATGTCCAAAAAATATATGTCTATCTGCATCTCTGTCAGGAGATAGTTAGCATTTGTCATTGGTCCTCTGGTATCATGGTTAACCATTTCATTGATCTTAGTTCTGAAGTCTTTCTAAATTGTTTGTCTTTATAGTGTTGTTATTGTATAAATTGTTCTCCTAGCTCTGTTTTACTTCACTCTGCATCAATTTATATGCCTTTTCCCAGTTTTCTCAGAAACTGCTCATTGTATCATTTCTTGTAGCACAACAGTATTCCATCACACTCATATACCATAATTTGTCATATGTACTGCTTCCTTTGTAAACTCCCTGTTTGTGTCATTTGAGCCCTTATTTATTAGGGAATAACAAAGGTTTTTCCCCCCTTTCAAGACAGCTTCTCTTCTTTTTCTAACTATTGATTTTGTTCACTGCACAATTCTTCATTGGTAATATGCTGCATTGCACTCATGCCCACTGTATGTATGCTCTGTTACCCTTTGGGTGATTGACAACTTTTAAGTTTTCAGTAATTATAGTATTCCATGACTTTCAGCCATACAAAATCACTGCAAGGATATTGATACTGAAAAAAAAAAAAGATGGACTTTTGTTCCCAAGCCAATCCAGCCCACCCCTCTCCAGTTCAATTCTGAGGTCCACCTGCTTATTCTGGTGTATTGGGCTGTCCATATTAGAGTCTGAACAATAGGAATTCTTCATCTACTTTATTAATCAGAGAATCATCAAGAAAAATGATTAGTTATGCTTCAAAGAATCTTATGTAATTTTACATATGCATGATAAGCATGCATATTTAACGGAGCTTAGTATAATGGATTAAGATCTGGCCTTGGAATTAGAGGTCAGGATTAGAAAGACATTGATTTAAATCCTACTCTGACACTTGCTGACTTCATGACCCTGGGCAAGTCACAACCTCTCCATACTCTAGACAGTTCTCTAAAAGTTAAGAGAAGGTGCTGATGCATTAGTAGGGGAAGTTTCCTCAGCTGGAAGTTCCCTGTACCAATGAAATCTGATTCAGTCCTTATGACTACAAGAAACATTTTACTGCATGTGAGCCTGTAAGTCAACATTGTGCTTTTGGGAATCAAATGTGTTTTGTTTTGTTTTGTTTTGTTTTTTCAGATAGTCAAGTACAGTGGGAATTTGTATGACTATAAAGATGTGACCTACTATAAATGTCATCTGTGACAACTTTGTTCCCTCCTCTAACCATCAAGGATGCCCTCAATGTGCATGGAGATCATTCTTACAAAGATGTAGAAATAGGAATGTAGGAACATAAGGTTCATTGTAATGGATGTTTCTTGGTTTGCCATTAAAGAAAAAAAAAGGCAATTGATTTTTTTCCCCAGACATTTAGTTTGCTATCATTATCTTGAGAATTGACCTGTCAGTACCCTCCAAGATGTGCAAGAGCCTTCCTGTATGTAATGTACATGGTATTGTCTGCCTGCTCTTATTTTCTTTAGTGATGTTTCTACTTCCTAATGCATATGCTACTAGATTTGATCAGTGTATTGGTTAGTCTTGCTTCACTACGTCTTTGTTCCAATACATGGTACTGAGATTTTTTTTTAAAACATCACTTTTTTTTTTTAAAGGGATTATGATGTTGAGTCCAGATGTGGCTCCAAGAAAAGGGAGCATTATAGAAGTCTCAGCATCTCTTTTGTGTTTTTCTTTTCCTTGTCTTTCCAGTTTAATCCTTAAATGATTGCTCTTGGAACAGTTTGGCAAAGTTTGGCTCAGCAGTTGGAAAGGTGGAATCAAAGCATAACCTGCACCCAGTGCGCAGAGTTACACTAGTTTGCTGGCTTGATTTGTTCAACTGTTAATTTGTCAGCCAGCTCTGTTTTGTGTGAACCAATGCAGTATAACGTTCTGTCTCTGTCCAAACCACCGAACTTAACTTGGCTGCCAAAATCACCAAGCTTGTTTTCTTCATTTTTTTTTCCTTCCAGTTCCTTAATTCTCTACCTAGAAGAAGAAATAAGGCATTTGTTGTTCAGTCATTTCAGTTGTGTCTGACTCTCTTTAACCCCATTTGGGGTTTTCTTGGCAAAGATACTGGAGTGGTTTGCTGTTTCCTTCTCCCCATTTTACAGATGAGGAAACTGAGGCTAACAGGATTAAGTGACTTGCCCAGGGTCACACAGCTAGGAAGTACCTGAGGCTAGATTTGAACTTAGGAAGATGAGGCTTCCTGATTTCAGGCCCTGAACTCTATCCACTGCACCACTAGCTACCATAATAAGGCAGGTACAATTTTTAAAAAGGACATTGTAGCAGGAAGTATACCTTGAGGACAACAAGAAGTAATATGATGTATAGAGGTTAATATCTAGATAGAGATAGAATATGTATGAGGAAAAAAAGGGAGGGAGGGAGAGAGAGAAAGAGAGAAAACATTTATTAAACATTATGTGTGCCAGGCACTGTGCTGAGCAATGTTGGCTTCTATAGATATAAGCCAACAGGACAGCCCATACCTTCAAGGAGCTTGCATTCTAATTGGGGAAAAACAACTAGTTGGGGGAAAAAATGGCAGGGTATGGAGCTGGCTAGAAAGTGGTAGTGGGAAAGCCTACTTAAAGCTGTGAGACCCAGGATGGAATCTAAGGTTCCAAAGACTAAGAAGTTAAGGCAATGGCCAGAGAATATGTTAAATGGTGAGGAGATGGTTAACAAGTCATCATCTTTGTATTCCCAATGCCTACCACAGTAGGCACTTCATAAATATTTATTTATTGGTTTTTGTACTCTCTAAAGCAATCAAGGACAATCTTATCTCAATTCAGCCCTTCATTTTCCTATCTCCCCCAATCCATCTTTCCCATCCCTGCAAGATTCATCATCCTTATGTCATTTTTCAATTTTGTCTGTTGCCTACAAGTAAAGTTCAAATTTCTTTTGGCATTCAAGGCCCTCCATCATCTGCCACCGACCCTACCAATCTCACTTCATTATTACTCTCTTGCACATACTTGCTTTAGCCAGCCAAGACATTGGTCTCTACGCCCTGTGTTTCTCTACTTTCATGCATTTTTCTCAGTACTAGGTCTGCCCTGGGTATAGTATTCTGCACTATATTTTCATAAATATTTTCTAAATGGGTGAATGAATGAGAATTTAGAGCTACTTGGATTACTGCAAATAGGTCCTTAAAGAATCATTTGGGCATTATTTCTAACGCAAGCTATTATCATAGCTCATACTTAGTACTTTTTGATTCGAAAAGTATTTTTCCAACATAACACCAATGGATGTAGGTGTCTGCAGCTGCTGGTGACCAGGGATAGCCTAGTCCTTTTCCTCCCTACCCCATTTGTCTTTGGAGATTTAACCAGCCACCACCCAGCACAATAATTAGTTCACTTTTTAGCCTAGGGACAGTGTAGTGGCCTCGAAAGTCCACATGGTTCCCTCCCTTGCTGTTTTGTGGATTTTAAAATTAAAGGAAAAGTTAGCAGCAGAATCAAAATCACTGAGCCCCGAATCAGGGAAATTCCTAACATTTAGACAGATGTTTTGCTCTCTGCCTTAATTTAAATAGATATTTATCTCTAGCTATCCCCCAGCCTCTTTATGGTTGAGGCAAAATTCAGGTTACCAAGTAAAGAAGCATTCAAAGTATGTTGCAGTCTCTGCTAATGGCCAACAACCAGGAAGGGACATTGGAGAAAGAGTAGACCTCTTCTTGGAACTTTCCTCAGTCCTGGCTAGAAGGGATGAGTAAAACTGGTGGCTTCAGCCTGAGTCTTCTGCTCTGAGATGTCTGGAGTGTGGGCCCAGGGCCCTCCTTGAGCTCTCTGTTCTTTGCCATTGTGCCATTGTATTTTTTATGGCTCCTATTTCCTGTCAGCCCACTGCCTCCAAATCCTTCTAGCCCAGCTGCTTAAGTCCTGGACAGGGCTGTGAAGAATGACCCCATTGCTGGGGAAGCCACCCAGCCATTGCTGTTACCACTTCCTTTCCTCCTGTCTCCCCCAATAGAATTCTAGGGTGTGATTCAATTCCACCTCCTGAGCTCAAAGATCACCATAACCCTGGGGATTACTGGTAAATGTTTAACCTCTAGCTGACAGGAAATGTAGTCGGGACATGCTTTTAGGTTTAACGTGTGTCATTAACATTTTCTCCATTAGTTTTTTAAGTCTTCACTAATGTGAATCATTTTGAGGCCCCCATCCTCTGAGAAGCCTAAAACCTGGATTGGCCCGTCAGGAGAAAGACATTTTGGGGCCACTCTGGGCTTAACCTACCATACATAATGCCTTGCATGCTCTGGCATAGTACACATGCTTTGCTTTGCTTTCTGAGTGAACCCAAAATGCCCCTTCCTGTGTCAGCAACTACGAGGCCAGATGAAGCTGATCAGGAGCATTCTTCCATTCATGACTGTCCAGGGCAAGATGCCTTGAACTGGACACTATCTTGAATAATGGGATTTTTCTTATTTAGTATTTTGTGGACACATTATGCTATGTTATGCTGTATATGTTGTCA